TTAAATAAATTTTAAGGTAAAATATTTTTGATTCACTTATTTGTCAAACTGAATGTTGCAACTCCAGATTTTTTTTCTTTAATCACATTTTTAAAACTAAATTAAAATTTCGTGAATAGTAATCAAATTATTTCATATTATTTAGTGTTAGATGATAATATTATATTTGTATTAAGCGAAATATTTAACTGAGAAAATATATACTCAATTTAAATAAGATCAATGATTTAATTAATTGCATAGATGAGAGGAAAGCATCAATTCTATAATAAAATAGAAGCATTCTTAGAATAGGAAGAAACTGTTTTTAGATATTTAAACAATGCAATTACAAAATTTGTGAAGGTGAAGAAATGTCAAAACAAAAATTTACTCTATATTCGAAAGCGGTACACTGAATTAGAAAATTATGACTTCATTTATTTTTGCTCAATTTAGAAAAAATGAAAATGCAATAATTGTCTGTTCTTTGGTCATAGACCTTGCTAAATCATGCAATAATTAGCTACCTGAATGAAAAATAGATTACTTTATTTTATAAGTTCACCAACTTTTTACGCTAACCCAGACAGTTAAATCAGTCTAAAGTAGACAACAAATGAAAGTGCATTAGATTTAAGTTTAAATTCAGTAAGATGATTAATCATTTCGAATTGAATTATTGTATTTTTATATTATACTATTTCCTTCTATCCTTTGATACATTAGATCGATTAGTCCAACAGCATCTAATTACGTTTTGTTTCAATAAAGAAGGAATAAGCTTCCGTAATTATATCTTGTTACTTTACCGAAAGCAGTAATTATCTCTTGTAGGGAGTATGCATTAATTATGTATAGTTGTATATTGTGCTACCATTGCACAGTGTGACACTGTTGGAGACGTTTATGAAGGACAATTTCAACGCATTCTATGAACTACTGTGAATTTTTTTGCTTTTAATATTATTATTTATTTGCTACTAATAATTGAAAATGCACTATTAAAAACCTCATAATATGGACAAAGGATTTTTCCTGTATTACCAACTTGATTACAATCCTATACTTCAAGCGATATAATTAAAGAGCCTGGATTTAGGTATACAAATATTGAAGATCGTATTATAGCTGCATTTTAATATCTGGCACATTTCATAAAATAAATATTTAACGGCCTTTCACAATAAAGTTTTAACACGTGGTGCACCCTGGGCAACGTATGCTCATATGGCAAAAAAGTCTGAAAGCGGCAGCTGATTTCTGTCTTCAAACTACCATGACACGACCGTGTGTCCCATTCGGCCACTTCAAGAATATTCATCTTTCCTTTTCTCTACACTTGTGTCCATCTGTCTTTTTACATCTGTGAATCACTCTTCTTTCTCCTCCTCTCTCTCGAATTTTTCTTACTATGATGTTCCTCCTCCCTCCCCCTCTGTGAAGTCCGAAGTCAGTTGAATGGCTGCCTGCCATTTGAAATAAATAAATAAATGCTTGACATAATGTCTAAATCAGTATGGTCACTTATCTTTTTTGGATTATTTTTCAACAGAGTTTTGTATGCATACTTAAAAGTCTAAATTGACATCTTTACACTAATGACACTTTATCAATGAGCAACTTGAATTGAAATGAATGCTCCAACTTTCAGTTAAAACATATGAAATAAAATTAAAAAAAAATAAATAAAAACGTGTTATTTAGTAAATTTATGCGGATGTCACAATCCCAATAACATTGGGATAATTACTTGGAAGAAAATTAATTGAATTAAATTATTTTTTCAATTAATAATTTCCATCTTTGTTAATTAATTTATTTCACTTATGAATATTGTTTTTAAACATAAAAAACGACGATGACTATTAAATTTGGAAAAATTAACGCTTACCGTTTTTCCAAATGCCTACAGTACTATCCAGCTTTTGCATTTTAGATTTGAATGGTTCGCTTATTATCTCAAAATCATTTTTCTATCCGAAACTTAAATCAACTAAAAATAATGAACTATTTTTTGCACTTTTAAATCAACCTGTGTAAATGCCTATTTCATTGCAATATTGGATAAGAATGTATTACCTTAAATTTCTTATTCAATCACTCCGTCAATAAACGAATGTGAATTCTTTTTATTCTAATTTTCACCCAACTCACCAGAGTTATAACAATTTGAAATAATAAACTTGAATAATCTGCGGTAAAATTTTCTCCGAGGACAATCATAAAGAAACAATGAACGGAGCAAAATATACATTTTTTATTTCAGATTTTCAACTTTATTCAATAAGTTTATGAAGAATAAATCATTTTAAATTTTGGTTTGTCAGAAAATAGCCTCAAAAAATAATAAATCTGAATTTTAATTTGGACATTTGAGTGAACAATCAAAACATTCAATTTTAATTGATGTTTCGCGAACTTCTATCGAATTGAAAGACTATATTTTATGCAATATCGAAATATTTGTTCATATACGATCAACAATATTTATTTCTATCTGAATACTTATAATTAATCGATATCGGTCATCATTATTGATCCGCAGTGGGCAAGATTTTATAAAGGGAGTACAGCAAATAGAGTACTATATGTAATTGCCGTAATTTTGAATCACGATTGCAATGCATTCAACACATATATTTAAAATGGGAAAATTTATCTGACGATGTTAAAATATTAAGTGTTGATTGTTTGTATCCAAACTTCATAGAGCTAACTTAACTTCACACATAATTACGCCAAATCAACTTATATAAAAAGTAATATGTACATATACATATAAATTGAACCGATTCGTTCTTTAGAGGAATTAAGACAACTACATGAAAATAATATTTATCAAAATTTAAAATGATACCTTAAAATTCAACCTAGTGTTTTAGTTATAGCATTGCATAAACCACAAACTATTATAAAGTGCTTTTCATATATATCTACATTAATTAAACATTATCAATGATATTCATATTTATTTACTTAAATCAAATGGCAGGCGTTTCGATAGTTACCATTGGCCATTTATCTGACTTTGGGCTTTACTGGGAAGAGGAGGAACATCAAAGTGAGAAAAAAGTCGAAAGAGGGGAACAGAAAAATGATTCACAGGTATAAAAGAGACAGGCACAAAGGTAGAGAGGAAAAGGTAAGGTGAGTACTGTAGAAGCGCTTGAATGCGAAATACAGTGGAGTCATGGTAGTTTGAAGTGAGAAGTCAAATGCCACTTCATGGACTCTTTTTCCGTATGTGTATACTTTGCCCAGGGTGCCCCACATGGAGGTAAGTCTTTCGCACACCCCATGATACACATAAAAATTATAACAAAATTTATCTTAATTCTTTCAAATTATAAAAATTATTGAAATTTTTATAAAATAATTACGTATTTTAAAATTATATAAATTAAAATTTTCAACTATATATTGCAATAAATCATCCAATTTCAGTCACTTGTAATTCCTGAAGTCTTCTGTTTGCTATTTTGTAAGAGATTTTAATATTCATAATAAAATACTCGTATAGATTTTGGTCAAGCTCATTCACATTTGGAAATAGAGGAAATCCGATCTGATAAAAATTCTTCCCCCTTCCGGATGCACAAACGCCTTTGGATTTAATTTTGTCATCATAGACACACTGAAAGTGTCTTTTCTGCTGAATAAATTTCGACCTTAACCCTTTATCCTCCAGTTACTTATTCCAAACTGTTGACAATAAAGTAAAAATGCAACTCTGTTCTTGCAGTTCTTCTCTATGTTTAAGCACACTGGGAGCTAAAAAATCTGCTTGTAAATTGATCAATTATTTATTGATACTTCAAATATTTCCATTAATTTTATCTCAACTGGAAGTAACACCAGATGCACTTCGAATTCACATGTCATTTCTAAAGGTTTTGCAGTTATTTTAGATAATAATTAATATTTTGGCATTCAAGGCTTGCATATTTTGTATTGTTACCAAGACTTGGATAATGGCAGACAGATATTTGGTTTCGCCCTAAGCTCTGCTTCTCACATAGCTTCGGAATGATTACAAATTAATGGCCTGTCGCAAAACGCAAATACCTATTAAACACTGCGTATACAGTAACATTTCAGACATTCATTAAATTTTCAGATTCTATTGTTGCATTTGAAAATCAAAAGCTTCTAATCTTATTTAATTAAATGGTATTTGATGACCATTATAAAAATTAAAACTGATTCTTTGTTCGGAAAACTTTTCATGGATTCATAATCTTTTGATATGTTTTTTTTAAATTTTCATAAGCAAATAAATAATTAAAAAATTTATCTACGTTTAAAACCAATATTCAATAAAACTCAACCAATAGAACATGCAATTTATTTCTGCAGATTTCTCTACAAAGAGTTCAATTAGCAATTGACTAACTAAAAGAATGCTATGCGTCTATGTTCATTGTAAGTATTATTATCGAGTAAATCAATTTAAACTTATTTAAAAGCTTTATTTTCCGAGTCAATACGAATATATTAAACAACAGTGACAATTTTCATATTTTTCGTGAACTACCGAGATCCTGAAATAGGCCTTTTTTATTATCTTAATTAAATTGCATTTCCCGAAAACCATTTATGAACTAATATCCTGTGATTGAAGTCAATTTTTATTTTGATAATTTATTTTGGCAATTTATTAACTATGAAGCTTAATTCTATGGTTTCCTATCTGATATACGACCTTGTAGTGTTGCTAACAAATGAGTTTTATAAGGTAGCGGAGCTAGAGCATATGATTTACAATACTCTAACTGTTTTTGCATCAATTATGAAAAGGATTCAGTTTAAATTTTAAATTTCGTAAGAAATTTATTTCCCATCGTTGACAGATTCTTTTGCCCAACTTATCATTTATTTATCAATTGCTGATTGGTCAGAACTGCAATTGCAATAAACCTATGCAGGCACGCGTCTTCACACACACAGGGACGCGTAAAAATACGCTGAGCTATTTAAAATAAATTGTAATTTGCGATCTTTGGAATGATTACTACGCAATGTCTAATGAAAATTTGAATGAAAACTTCAACGATTCGCACTGGGAACCCACAGAGGCATTCAGTCTTGGCTTAAAACTTGGCTTAAGTCTACCCTACATTCAGCTCATGCTCATTGCTCTAATTGGAAATTCACTTGTCTGCTATGTGATACATCGCTACCTCCAGCATTCAGTGACAAATATATTTCTCTATAATCTCAGCCTGACAGATATTCTAACAACACTTGCAGTGATTCCCATTTCAGCTGTAGCCGATATTTGGCTTAATCATTGGCCATTCGGTGAAGCTATGTGCAAAATTGTTCCCTTTATTCAATGTCTTACTGTAACTCTAACCGCCTTTACTCACGTTCTCATCTCATGCGATCGCTTTCTCATAGTCTTTTGGCCATTGCAAAGGCGACAATTATTAACGCCTAGAAAGGCTAAATTTATCCTTCTGGGACTTTGGCTTACTGCGTCAATTCAAGCTATTCCAAACGCTGTTGTGGGATATTTAGAGAGAGGTGAAAGTTTGCGATGTGCGGAATCTTGGGATCAAGAACAATCCAAGGCATATACATTGACTCTGATGGTTATTCAGTACTTTCTTCCATTAGTCCTTCTTATATTTTCCTACTCCGTAATTGTTTGGAAGCTCAATTCTACTCAAGTTGGTGGGGTAATTTCCGTCAGTCGAAGTGGAATGGCCGTCAGATCAAAACGAAAAGTAATTTACTTTGAATTTATTTATTTATTTTATTTAAAATTTTGGGGAGATAATAGCAGCTAAATTGACATAATCATACTTCAAATATTCAGCATCAATTTTTTTTAATTTCCCAAAAAAACGATTAGAAATTAAAGCAAATTTTATAATTTTATCGACCAAAGCTGGTAGTATTTTAGTGGATGCCTATGCAGGCTTTGAGCTTGTTTGTCATATATTAAATTAGAAAGCAATTCTTCTCATGTTTGCATGGTTCGATTTTGTTGTGCAAAAAAATTATATTGGTACTGCTGATATTTCAACAATTTTTATTAAATTGAAAGAAGACGCAAAAATTTATCAAGATTCTTGCAAATTGAACTTTTATTCACTCAACTTGCCAACCACAGGGAAACGTTTTTCGATGCAATAATAATGTATATATTTTTAGTCAAAACAAGTCTAACTTTTTAAATACATAAGCAATTCATTGTTTACTTACTTGCTGACATGGGTCAACCATATAGATTAAAAGTGTATATGAGAACAAATTTGAATTTCTAAATGAATCTGCACCGGCGCGTTTGGTTCAGAAAAGAATAAATCATCTAAAAGCAAATAAAAGAGACTAAGAATTTTAAAAGCTATATTTGTGCTGCAACGTCTACCTCAATGTTTACTGCTGAAGAGTCAATTCATGTGGGGAAGATTATTTCTCATTATTATCAAGTGACATTTACTTTTGAGCCTGCTGTCAGTTAGTGCATCTAGGCTAGTAATTAAGCAAATAAATGCTCATTCGTAGATTATTAATTTATATCAACCTGAAATGCCTTTTATCAATCAGAAAAGGCAGCAGATTTTCACTGAAAACCATATCTCTGCGATCTTTCTCTTCGCATTCCTTAAATATGAGTATTTAAAATTTTCATAAAATCGTTCAACAGAAATGTTTTTTTAAGTGATTAATAATATTAATGCGGTTAGGGGCTTAAGTAAAATTAATGTCTGACAAACGTACAATATTTCAAAGTATAAATTTGAAATATGTATTATAACATTATTCTTTTCTAAACAATTTCTACTTTTATTACTACTTTAATGGAGCACAATATGATCCACCTATCTAACAAAAAATCTTGCATTTCAAAATAAAATATGAAATTTCAAATGAAAACGTCTAATATTAACAAGGTATAACAATTTTGTTGTGAATTCCAAACGCTTAATAGGTGAATAAACGTTTTCCTTTAATCTAACTAAACGCTTAAAGGCAAAATGTTATTTCACCTGACATTGTCTTCTCAAACATAATACTTTTTGTGCAAAAAGTGCTACTACTACTTTTCAACCAGCACAACCTTTAGAAAAGAGGTAGGAGTATTTTGCCTCTTTTGTAGATATTATGAATAAAATAAAGACTAAAAACGAAAAATTATAGCTTTTTCAAGGTGATCTTAAAGAAACAAGCTTACCAGGGTGTATCATCAGAAAAAAACCTTAGTTAAGATCAATTCACTAATTAAGATTCCCAATGAAATCAAATTCGTTTACTATGTAAGCAATTCCCAACCCAGAAAATGAAATCTCCAGTATGAACTTTAACTCCCTTAAGAGATATTAAAAAACAGACGTTTAAGAGGTTTACAGTAAAAAAAGTGTGTCTTAAAGTACTACATCATCGCTTTCATTGAATGTATGCGAATATTTAACAACTTCTATTTAATGTAAGGTTCAAGAGTTTGCACCTTTCAAGGGTGCTGTTAGACAGTTGAATATTTCGGGCATATTAATTGCTTACTTCCATCAAACCTAATGGCAACAATGCATTGACGAGTGTCAGCTATTTCGCTTGTCAAAAAGTGTCCTTAGTTTTAAAACATTTCGTCTGTTAACCGTCTTAAAATACTTCTTTAGACAAAAGTGATAATTTGCCTTTATTAAACATTTTTACGAATTTCCATCTATTATAGAAAAACTTATTTTTCTGGAATAGCTATTAGTTTAAAATCTATTTAGAGTGTGTACATATGAACATATGTATATATATATATATATATATATATATATATGCACCCAATATTTCTGGCCTTATAACAATAGCCTGTTTAGTTCCAATATAATAAAGTAGATCAAAATCACTTAATTTAAAATTCCAAATAGCATTTATGGAATTTTACTATTTGGCAAAAATACTAGCAAATTTCTCTCAATTATATTATGGAAACTTTTCTCACAAAATAACCAGTTCACGTTTCCTTCACGTAAAAGTGAAAAATTACTACACCGCATGAACAGATTGAAAAGAATGGGAAAATATTGTCACGACAATGCTATTGTGAAGTTATATTTTTAAATTAAGTTCTTAAAAGTTCACGGGTTTCTCACTTAACTTTAAATATACTCGGTTACGGAAATATGGCTTCAAAGCTAATGTATAAAAACGTAGTGCTAAATCTAACTTAAGCATATGACCTTGAAGATACTGAATAATGCCATTCAAGACCCTTAATATTATGATTATTATTAATCATTTTTATCGGTATGCTTTCAGATTATTATATAAAGGCGTTTTGCTCTGCTCAGTTAATGAACCTTCATAAGCGCTTTTTTCCATTCGTGGATTTGTCTGTAACTTCGACATACTATTTTTAATATGGTTCAATATAAGCTTCGATGTCATTATTTCAAATTAAAATAGCTTTTATAGTAGTTTAAATTATGTACATTATATCCAAAGCCAATCTGTTCGCACTAACAACAATGGGTTCTTGACCTTGTTGAAATTTTGTTTACTGTAGGATGGACTTTGAGGGTTTTCTAAAATCAAATTACCATTCAATCTTAAGAAATAAGCTTATTTTATTAAACACAGTCTAATGCCACGATATTAAATTAATTTATTCTAAGATGGAAGAGGCTATAGGAAGTTAAGCTTTGAAAGCATATCCTCATACCTCAAGAATGTTGAATAGTGAACTCTGTAAGGCCATACGTTTACCTTTCCATCATTTTGTAATTTGCTTCCATCTTCAATTTTTGAAATTTGAAAGGTGATTTGCTTTCAAGGAAACTCTTTTCCATCGTTTCGTTGACTAATTTTGAATTTGGGATAAATACGTAAGATTTACATATTTGACAGCGCTATAAAAATCAAGATAAGTGTTATGGAATAGTTTAGTTCTTTGTTTATTTATAATGAAAAACAACATTTTATCAGGTAATTTAAAATACAAACAATTACATCCGCTGTATAGAACTTTATTAAATAATTCAAGCAGATATTACAAATATGGTAATAAAAATGACTCCAAGCCAATGGCCGAATTTACGATTTTAATAATAATTATTTGCCCAATCTCTAATATAGGTCGAAATGATTTATGCAATACCTGATAACATGTTGCAAAATCAACATGGGTTATTTTATCAAGATTTCAACTATCCAATTTCTCTTGTTGAAATCATAATTGAATTGTTAGGGAATTTTTATTCTTTATAAATTAAACTGCACATTTTTTATTTGGGCATGAGGCAGTTGTTTACCTTATAGGTGGTGAAAATGATGATAGCGGTGTCTACTATTTACGCCATTTCTCAACTTCCAAGGCATGTCATCTACCTCTACGGCACAATTGTTGAGTGGAATTCGCGAGTATTTGCAATTGCTTGGACCTTCTCCACGTTATTAAGCAGCTCTGCCTCATGCTATAATCCCTTCATTTACGCCTGGATGAATCAAACCTATAGAATGGGCTTCTCACGAGTTCTCTGCTTTTGCTGCAATAAATGGAAGAAAAAAGATGCGCTCGAGGTTCGCATCAAAAGTCGTCCTTCTAAGGACGTCTAGTTTTATCTGAAACAATTTCTCAAGAGAGTTTTTTTTGGTATTTTGTATATATATATACAAATGTATTCAAGAAGGATTATTTGGTTTTCATTGGAGAGTTGTACATAAAATATAGTGGCAGAGATAGTAGACCTTTTGTCACACTGAATTATAGTTAAAATGTTTAAACTTCTAATGAGAAGTATGTTCTCGATGAATAGATCTAATTAGTTATATATTTTTTGAAAATGTACGTTTTCATGGTATAGTTCAAGGTTCCACAGCAGGACTTTTGGTTTAATTATAGTAAATAGATTCAATAGAGTAGTCGGAAAGAACATTCATTTAATTGATCTTATGCAAATGTAATAATTTGGTTATGTATGCAATTCCAACATAGCAAATTTATGTCCTCTATACCACAAAATAAATTTTCATTCAAAGCGTTGAATACATTCGTATCAGAAAAAATATCAGTTTTAACTGACTCAATCGTATTTAAAGCAATCTTATAAACCTAGGAGCTTCGTAAATTTCTCTACCACTTATTACGTCGGACTAAATGAATTTCCTCGGTTAGCCAAAATATCATTGGAATTTTGGGCAAATCCATTACCGCAAATAATTACGTTGAGTTGTGTCAGGCTTCGGACAATTTTAATTTTGTTAGCTTTAAAGTCGAAAGGTTATCATGCGATGAAATGAATATCATACGATAATGTAAAATAAACTTTGGCCTTAAGGGAATTCATAGTCAACATCATAATTCACAAGTTTGTTGATAATTTGACATTGTCAGAACTGAGTACTCCACCCCCCCCCCCCCCCGCCTCCACCCAGTGCCATCACCAGTAATTGTGGTGGTACCGAAGTAATTTTAAGTACTAAAATAGGGTAACAAAATCACATGAGCCCACTATAGAATAAAATTAATTGAATTAGATCACGTTCTGGGCTTATCTCCTCCCCCCTCTCCAGATTGTCCATGAGTGTTTTGTTGCTTGTTAGCTATGTAAAAATACCATTTTTGATCCTATTTTCCTTACGCCTTTGTAATATACTTTACACGAAACTAGTCACTTCTTTAACGATTCAATGTTTTTCAAGATTGCCACTTATTCATTTTGTCCTTCCACTGGATATTTTAGATCTTGAAATAAATTAACACGAGCGAATTGACTTATTTTCTCCGTTGCCTTGTAATAATTACGTGCGAGTTTGTAGGTGTAGTTTGGTTTGTCTTAATTTGCTACGCCTACTGGATACAGGTTCCATCGGAAGTTTAG